GTCGCGAAGGGCACTTACAAGCCGGGGTCAAGCCGAGTGGGTCCCAGTAGGTTCGCGATCTCCTCCCACCCCGTGGATGGCTTTCAGATAAGTCATATGAACAGCCAGCTTGGACGTGTAAAAGCTGTAGCACTCACATAACTGACAAGCTCGAAAATACAGTCGCAAACATGGCATCTTTCCCCCAGAACAACAGAATGTATCAGATTCTTGAGGCGGCTAGGACAGGTGGATACGCTGTCGGCGCGTATAACTGGTGAGAGCTGGATTCTTTGTAGGCCTTCCGTGAAGCTGACTTGGAAATAGTTACAATGACGACGGTGTTATTGCAGTCATTCGGGCAGCTGAGGCATGCAAGTCGCCTGCCATTATCCAAGTCTTCCCATGGACGATGCGATTCCAAGGCCCCGAGTTCGTCAAGTACGTGATTGGCGCCGCGCACGCCGCGAAAGTTCCGATCGCGGTCCATCTCGATCACTGCATCGAACCGGAAGACGTCAAGGCGGCGCTTGAGCTTCCCTTCGACTCCATTATGGTCGATGCCTCAATCCACGACGAAGCCGAGAATGCCCGGCAGTGCAAAGAGATTGTTCAGATCGCGAACGCCAAGGGCATCGCTATCGAGGCTGAGATGGGCCGACTGGAAGGAGGCGAGGATGGCCTGCCAACAGTCGACCTCGAGACGATCTTTACACGACCCGAGCTTGCGAGAGATTTCGTGAAAGAGACAGGAGTGCAATTCCTCGCTCCGTCTTTCGGAAATATCCACGGAAATTACGGTCCTGGTGGTCCGGAGAAATATTGGAGATTGCCTCTGTAAGTATTCCAGCGCCTATAACGGAGCCATGATGCTGACTGATGTTTTGTTGCAGGCTGAACGATATTCACAATGCCATCCCCGACATTCCTCTCGTCTTGCATGGAACCCACGGTGTGTCTGACGAGCAATTCAGGAACGCCAGAAAGCACGGCATGGTCAAAATCAACCTGAACAGAACGGTCCGCGACGAATACACGGACTTCATCGCAGAGAATGCGGGCAAGTTGGAGCTTACCGTTCTGAAAATGAAGGGCGCGGAAGTTTATGCGAAGTCTATTGAGCGGGTGATGAGGGATGTGTTGTACTCAGCTGGCAAAGCATAAGGCATGCCGGCGTATAGAGATTCGAATTCATATACATGTTACCAACACGAATGAAGCACATGTCTCTGTGTGTATTTGGAACCAAGTTCTCAGCTCGTGCTATGAGGACTTCAACCGATCGCCAATTACAAAGCTGATGCAGCCCATTAGTTCGTGTCAATCGTAATCTACCAATGCTGAAAATTAATGTCGCAATTGAGCTATGCATTGTAAATTTCTTGATTCCTCCGGGCGGATAACCACGATTGCTCCAGACTTCTATCATGACTTTCGACCTGTGGTATCGGCCCAATCCCGAAAGTGTGACTGCAGAAAGCCGGCTTTTCCCCGAAACAAAACAAACTGCCCCGCGATGCCGGCCTTTGATGAAAACCCCGCGTGGGACCTATCCGACAATCGGAACAATCTTACGATAGAGACGTCATTGCCAGTCGGTTGGACGTCGATTAAAACCCCAGTAAGAGAGCTCTAGAAGCCAAAAGTGACTGCATGCTGTCGTTGACGTTCGAACTCAATTGCAGAATTTGCTTACTTTCACAATGACGTCAACATCCGACATCGTGGATCGTCTCTCCAAATGGTCAAGCTGTGATGTAAGTAGACCGACTTCTCGGCAAGATTCCATATCACAAGACTATAATCACTGAATATACTAGATCTCGGATGGCCTCTCCAAGCTTGGCCGTGCTGATGGAGGCTTCTTAGAGGGACTCGTGCTTTACTCGCCAGAGTACCAAGCTGGGAAGACTAAGATTGTCGGACCCGTCTTTACTGTCAAGTTTGCTCCCAAGAGCGACTCATCTGCGCCGAAGGTCGAGGGCAACTACGTGAGTTTAGCTTCCTCAGGCAAGTTTTAGAGATTGAACCTGGGACGCTAATCACGATTCCTTCTCGCAGATCGACCAGATCCCCAAGGATTCCGTTGTCTTCATCTCACAGCCGGCTCCGCATGTGAACGCCTGTTATGGAGGGCTGATGTCGTTGAGAGCCCAGATCCTCGGGGCCAAGGGTGTCGTAATTGACGGACATCTTCGCGACCTCCAAGAGCACAGAGATCTCGGATTTCCGGTGAGAGCCATTGAACATGTGACTAGTGCTTATGCATCCCCAACTAACGAACATCATTCCAGCTATTTGCGAGAGGCACTGGCACTACGGCCGGTGGTGCTGTGTGTTTCCCATCTGAAATCAACGTCGACGTGAAGCTTCAGTCTGCCAAGCAGGATGCCACAATTAGCCCGGGAGGATACATCATTGCAGACCTTGATGGCGTCGTGTTTTTGCCCGGCGATCTGGCCGAGCAGGTCCTTGAGAAGATCCCTGGGCTCGCTGCTGCAGACGACAGGTGTGCTGAGGCTATCCGTGGTGGCATGTCTGTACAGGAGGCGTTCGCGACTTTCAGGGGTAAATAGAGCGACAATGATTCGGCAATAAAGATCAATGCGTAAAGAAAGTTCTTCAAAAACCATCAAGTGGAATGGCAGGGAAATTTGGGGCAGGGAGATAGGCGCAGTTATCGCCGTCACCATTTGAGGTTTGCTACAAATGCACCCACGAACGTCACAATTGCCGATCGTAAACACGATGACCTTGGCTGAGAAAATTGAACAGTAATTCAGGAGGATAAAATAGACCTGCGAAAGAAGAATGACAATAGCGCATCTTATTCTCATACACTAGAAACGTGCTCTGTGGACTGCTTTCACGATTTTCATTTAAAGTCTACTCATGTACATAACTTCATTCCATCTTTTGGTGATCTTCTCCACGCCAAGTTCAAGCCAGCGGCGTCGTAGACAGCTGAAGCCCTGGTACACCATACTTGGATGCCAAGTCCTCAAACATCTTTTTCTCAGCATCAGCAAATGGCAGGCCTTGCACCTTGCGCTCCTCAGCCAGGCGGTACTCAGGCTCGCCGGGGAAGAGGACCTCTTTGAAGCCATCAGCGGGCGTGACTCCGTGCACACGCTGAACGAGAGTATCCATCCTGGCGCGGAACTGCTCGGAGGACATGAAGATGTCGGGCTTGATGGCGATGAAGCAGTGTCCAACATTCTGAGGACGAGCCTCTTTGTACTGGTCGCCAACCTCGCCACCGAAAGCGGCACCGGACAGAACCCCGGACATGATGTCCATCAGAATGGCAATTCCGGATCCCTTGGGGCCACCAATGGGGGCCATAGAGCCGTTCAAAGCCTCGTCCGCGTCCTCGGTGGGCTTTCCATCTTTGTCATACGCCCATCCGAGGGGAATCTTCTCGCCTCTGCGGGCGGCCTTGCGGATCTTACCCTTTGCAACGACGGACGGCGCCATATCGAGGATGTAAGGGACTTCGTTCTTGCTGGGAGCTCCCGCGGCAAAAGGAGAAATACCGAGCAGGGTCTCCTTACCACCGAATGGAGGCATCTGCTTGGCAGAGTTTGTGAAGACAAGAGAGATCATGCCAGCGTCGAGAGCCTGCAGGACGTATGTGGCACCCATGCCGAAGTGGTTGGAGTGTTCGGCAGTGACAATTCCGATACCGTAAGTCTCTGCACGACGAATCGCATCCTTCATAGCCTTGGAGGCGACGATGAAGCCGAAACCATTGTCTCCATCGGCGTGCGCAGCGACTGGTGTCTTTTCGGTGATCTGGATGTTGGCCTTGGCGTTCACAAGGCCACTCTGAACTCTCTCAATGTACTGCTGAAGTCTCGCCAGTCCGTGGGTATCCTATCAGGATCGGAAGTTAGTTGCTATGTTTCCAACCGTGTCTGTCATATGAATTGGGCTTCTTAGGCACTTACAACACCGCGAGTGTCAGCCTGTACCAGGCACTCAGCCATGAGACTGGCATCATCCTCAGGAAGACCTGACTTCACCAGAAGAGTCTTGGCGAAGGTAACGGCCTCGCTCGGCTTAGCGTAGTAGCGTGCTGGGGTGGACATTATGATCGATGACGTATCTTCACAACAGATTGAGATGTTCGTGTTATTCAAAGCAGATTGAAGAGACTGAGTGCCAAACTTTCAAGCGAAAAGCACGATAATAATATCTGTCGTCACGGATGTTACCGGCCGTATTCATCGTCATTTTCGAGATAGACCTCACGCTTAGACCCTCATTGGTCGGGTTAACCCGATGAAATGACCCCTCCAAAAGCCTGAGCACCGGCCAAAAGCCGAGGACTGCCCCGCCCCCGCATGCGGACTACTCCTGTTCGTCAATTGACGACTCTGATCAAGCCACACACAAGGATTCCCCGCCAAGAAAGAAGTCCGAGCAATTCTTCAACCACAGTCTCGGGTTTCCCCCGTTTCCTCTTTGCACCAGCATTGAAGCTTCACGTCGCGAAGATTCATACACAAGAGTTTCCGATAAGCCCGGTCTCTTACTTGTGTAAGAGCCCTCTCCACAGAATCAGTCGATGGCCGCAGACGCTGCCGGATCATCTGGTGGGTCCGAAGAGCCCATCTCCCCCGTATCGACTCGGCAACGGCCCGGTGCGGCGTCGATGACTGGGCCGGGCCGCAAGAAAGGCACGGCATGCGCCCGCTGCCGCAGTCAAAAGATCCGTTGTGACGATGAGAGGCCATCTTGCACCAACTGTGCTCGATCGGGGCACCCATGCGTCAGGGCGAATCTTACGAATAACCCCGACGCGGTCAAGTGAGCATCCAGATCGAAAGAATTACCCGTTTCGGACAGCAGAATGGCAAACTGACTTTGAACACCGCAGCCATGTCACCAAACTGGAGGCTCGATTGCGGTCTCTTGAGGATTCACTTCGTCGGGTAGCCCCCGAAGAACTTGACAGGGCCCCGGAAGTGGAATCGCGGTCGGCGATAGCGCCATCTATCACGGTCTCTACCGCCCCCATGTACGAGACAAGTCCTACTATGGAGCAAGCGCAGCACTGGCCCATGCAGCAACCCTTACCCACGCCAATCGACCAGTCAAGCCATAACGAGCAGGATATCTATGATGACCAAGAGCTCATCGTGGACACCGCGAGCCTTCCTCAATTGGACACTATCGAAGCAGACCCAGGCATTGAAGATGCTGTTCACGAGGATGAGGCAATCCCAGTCGACAACCACCCAACTGTTCAGTCCTCAGCGACTGAGAACACCACATCGCTCAGTCCATCTGCCTCCACAGAGATTGGCCCAAGCGAGCCTCTTGCCCATGAGGTTGGTATGCTGTCACTGGCCAACTCCAAGGAGTCCAAATATCTCGGCCCTTCTTCGGGCGTACCCTTTGCGCGCCTCATCTTCTCAGCCATACCTCAATCTCAAGGCTTGTCAGTGAGCTGGTCAGCCCCAGAAGGAGGGACAGTGGCGCGGAAACCTTCGCCTGCCCATCATCCCTTTCCACCTCATTGGACGTCTGAAGTCGACTTGCAGCATTTTGCAGACGCATACTTCCAAACTCTCCATCCCCTATACCCATTCCTTGATGAGGATAGTATCTCTGACAACCTAGATTGTCTTTACACAACTCAAAAGGCAGGGTCTATGCAAATGCCTCCTCTAGCAGAGGTTGAAGCCTCGCTATCCCCGTTCCATTCAGTTCAAGTATTTCTTGTTCTCGCGTTGGGTGCTCGAATCTTGGAGTCTCGGCTCTCCGTAGAGTTCTCATCTGAGAGGTATCTCGCCACAGCTATGCAACGGATTGGCACCCTGGCTTTGCATGACAGCATAGAAGGACTACAGATCATGCTCTTGCTAGCCTTGACCAGCTTCTACTTCGAAGAAGGGCCAAACGCATGGTTCCTTGTGATGAACATCATTGCGAGCTGCTTGGACTTGGGCTTCCAAAGACGTGGGGTTGACATGCACCGTCATTCCCCTTTAGCAAAGCCTAGCACTGCTCATATTCGTCTCAACCTGAGGCGAGGCATCTTCTGGTCTGCTTACTCACTAGAGAGAACATTATCAGTCGTCCTTGGACGTCCTTTGACCCTTCGAGACGAGGCTATTGATATAGAGTTTCCTGGCCATGTAGGTCGTCCTGGAGATCATGCAGGGGACTCTGTCGGCAGCAGTGCGTTGACACCAGAGAGCGCTCGCTCTCCGCACCACTCAACAAAACGGGCAAGGGTCATGGTCAACCCGTATGCAGCTGCACAGTACTCTTTCAAATTCGACCAAATTACGGCTGAAATCAAGCTGATGATATACCGTGTCGTCAATCTGCCGAACAGGTTCCCGTGGCCTACGGACTTCGACACCTGGCAGCCGGATGTCCGCAAGCGCTGCGACGCACTACTTGAAGGGCTCAAAGCTGAGTTTCGTCGGGGCTTTCGGCGAAGTACTTCGGATGGTGTCGTACAAAATCTCGAGCTGAAGTACCATCACTGCATCATGCTTCTCTACCGTCCGTCACCCGCCATCACCAGGCCAAGTTTCGACTGCTGGAAGATTTGCTACGAAAGCGCCGTCGCCACGATACTGATCAACTCCGAGCTACACCGGTTCTCGAAACTCTCAAACAGTTGGTTGACAGCACATACGGTCTTCGTAAGCGGTATCACTTTTCTTTACTGCTTATGGGTGGTGCCGAAGATCAAGCAAGAGACGTCGCTGGTGGCATTCAAGAGCAACGCAGATGCGTGCAGCAACCTCTTGAAGTACCTCGCCAAGACATGGAGTGTGGCTGCCGATGCTGTGTTGAAGTATGAGAGGCTTGTTCATCTGACGACGGAGTCATGGAAAGCTGCAGCGAACCGACCGCCTAGTGCAGAAGTCGCGGCTGGCCAGTCTCTCGTGTCAATGGCACAGGGACAGGAGACGGAAGCCAGCGAGATCACGTCTGCACCGGTCATGGACCCAAGCCTCTATACGATGGATGCAAACATGGGCATGGGAGGAGAATTTGAGGCTGACTCATTTTTCAATGAGCTGGGTGATATGAGCTCATGGTTTGACCTTAATTGGCTTTTGGACGCCAGTGCTGGATTTAGTTCTACAGATGATCCAGCAGGTCCAGCATTGTTTTGATTAAACAATAAGATACCTCCGTTTGCCGCATTATCTAGATCAACTTCGATCGAAGTGACTCTCCAGTAGTTCCCGGCCGAATGCCTTCTATTTGGCTAATGCCTCTCATGCAAAGACAATGAAGGCATCTTCGGGGCATCTTGGGGGCCAACAAAGCTGTCTGAGATCTTCTCGCCAGTGACTTATTATCTTGCCTTCACGTCAGAAAGAATGGAGAGATCAGTCTAATTTCGACTTCCCTGCCCATTTTCAAGTTGCTCACCAATGTATCAGATGACGATACTTAAAATCAGCGTGCCCTCACCTTCTAGCTCGCGGAAGCATGGCAAAGACCAATGCGGACGAAAAGTGGGCTCGGGTTTTGCCCAGTCACAATAACGCCACACTCGGGATAACCCCGATGGCAGCTGCGCTCAATACCCGAAATTGCAGCTCTTCTTCCACTTGAGCTTGCGTTCAGTGTGCTGGAAAGGCGTTGGCGAATAGAGTTCTTTCAGCATTGAACCCGACAATTCCCAAAATGGCGAGCATGCATCAATTTGCGCATGTGGTGAGAAGGGCGGATTCGTCGTCGCCCCTACTTTCAGCTCTGCTCCGCACTCAATGTCGAGCTGCACCGCGTTGTGTCCAAGCATTCAGTTCTTCAGCTCGTTGTCGACAAAAGCCCCAAGTAGCAGTTCTCTACCAGGAGATTGACCCCCCAGTGATTGCTGGGAATGTGAAACCGAAGAAGCCCGGCGGTTGGTAACCCCAAGAATGAGACATGATGGATTTTCAGAAAGCTAACACCTGATTCCAGGCTACAAAGACTCCGGTGCCGATATCGCATACAACCTAAGTCTTTCCAATGGGGTCCAAGTTCTGAGCCCAAACTCGCGGCCAGACCCTCTCAAAGATGCCGACTGGTGTTTCCCCGATAACGAAGACGGTATTCTGAGCGCGATTGGTAAAGGCGCGACGCATCTGTGGGCGAACACGATTCTCTTCGCCAGCCACCCACTCCAGACCTCGGCGCGCATCGGGAAACATGAGAAGAAGATCAAGGTTATTGGACAAGGACCTCTAATTGTCGAGAAGTACGATGACAAAGATTTCGTCAACACTCTCCTGCGGCAGCAAGGGAGCTTCACTATGCCGTGGGCCTGCACCATCCACGCTAATAAGGATACGCCTGACTATAAATCATATCCGTATCCGGTGGTTGCAAAACCCGCCCGTGGTCGCGGCAGCCACGGCGTGAAGGTCTGCCAGGATGAGAACGAGTTGAGTTCCCATATCAAGCTCCTGAAGTCTCAGGGAACCAATGCGATCATCGTGGAAGAGTTTCTTGCAGGCGAGGAGGCCACGGTGACAGTCATGCCTCCGACATCTGACAAGGGATACTGGTCTCTGCCCGTTGTCACCCGATTCAACCATCAAGATGGCATCGCCCCCTACAACGGCACAGTCGCTGTCACTGCAAACTCCAAAGCCGTTGTTGGCTTTGAAGACCCTGCCTACGAGGAAGTTGCCAAGGAGTGTGAGAAGGTCGGAGAGTTGCTTGGTACCACCGCGCCTATCCGCATCGACGTTCGTCGGTTCAAGGCAGGCTCCAAATTTGCGCTGTTCGATGTGAACATGAAGCCGGTAAGTCCATCAGGCCGAAATGGCTCTATTTGAATCATAGAGGCTAATACAACACTTTTGCGCAGAACATGACTGGGCCAGGCAGACCGGGTCGAGATGAGCAAGCGAGCTTGACACTACTTGCAGCAGCAGCTCTTGGCTGGGACTATAAGGAATTGCTTCGTCAGATTCTGGGCACATCATACACGCTTGAAGCACTTAGAAAGCTTGCGCCTCGTACCTAAGCTGAATAGATGGAAACGAAACGATTACTTAGGTACAATTTGTAGACTTCAAGTTCCTTTTTAGTGTGAGCGTGCTTCGATCATGACACAAAGTTTCCGTAGACATGCTGATGCCATCCTAAAGTGAATCATCTCAAGGCGCAAATCGAATTCCGCCCCGTCTAGAGTTAGATGAACATTGGACCTTTGTTGCAAATATTCTCCGGACGCCACGCTACCACATCTGCCTCATGTTTCAGCCGGTGTTCCCGCAGGCCAAGATACAAACCACATCACTCTTTCATCTTGGTAATTCTCAACTCGACCATTATCATTGGTCTGCACCAATACGTGCCAGCTATCAGTCCGGTGGCTGATCATGATAGGCGGGACTCAATTTCCTGAGAGTCTTGGCCTCCGGCCATATGCCGGTGCGAGCCGGCGTCAATGCCGGGGTGTGGACGTCCCCATAATGCAGGCCCTGGTGGACCATGCCATGGGCTCAAATTGCCGAACAGGGCCTCGTCAATATCAGGGAAAATGACAAACTGTCCCAACGATCTGATTTCTACCTTTTACTTTTTATAATTGAAGCAGCATAGCGTTTATTCTTATAAAAAGCTCTCCATTTTATACGCTATCGTCTATCAACATTCGTTTCGGACTGCCAAGATGACTCTCATTCATATGGGTAAGTGACTATACTCCTTTATGATTTGCCTATAGTTGTCTGACAAGTCGGCAAGTGCTGTTCAAATTCCGACCGGAGGTTACCAAGGAACACAAGGAGACATTCGTGAGAGAGCTCAAGAAGTTGAAGAACCTATCATGCGTTAAGGACAATCGCCTTATCGTCGGAGGACCATCCGTGACCGAACCGATCGAGCGAAGCAAGGGTTTTGAGTTTGCTCTACTCAGCTACCACGAGAACCGCGCCGCGTTGGACGAATACCAAGCAAGCAAAGAGCACCACTGGTAAGGCAGCGGCTGCTTCTGCGGGATAGATCTGGACTAACGTCGCCATAGGGTCACGCAAACCTACATGTTTCCTTTCAAGGAGGACCTGTGTCGGTTTGATTTCGAGGTTGACGAGGCAGACGAGTACATGTGCGACTTCACCAAGCTGGCGTCAAAACTGACTGGTGGACTTTCCACACCCGAGGAACAGTCTCTATAACGAGGAAGGATACATATAATACAGCGTTGTTTAATTCATTTTATCACTGGCAATGGCATGCTTCTGTTTCCGGTGCTCTTTGGCCTAGTCGCATATTTCCGTGCATTTAATGATGGCTTGGCCACTACACATTAGCCTCCTTCAACATAGCCCCCCCTACATGTATGCTCCCTACCTCACAAGGAGGATGTGGACATGTGCCAACCAACTCCTTGGGTACTACGACTAACGATGCTTCGAACAAGAACAACTCTTATCGAGCCCAGTCCTTCGAAAGAAGATCTCCTTTGGTCAATCAGGGGCTGGTCTAATACTAGTTGACATAGTCTGGCCTTCGACCACAAGCCCGGGGTGAGACCGCAGATCGGAAGGATCCGAGCCCTTCGGATCCCGGTGTTCGGGCCGTGATCACATCGCATAGCCGGTGCAGCGGACATAAATTTCTCACTTTTGATCAATTTGAACCGAGATTTCAGATGACCTCCTGCAACCTTGTCCTATTACTGTCCGCAGTTTCGCCGAGACACACATCCTCAACTCAACTCCGTATCTTCTTATCAAACCTACGGCAATATCGTCAACATGCGCATCGGCGTTCTCACAGGCAATGGCATCGGTCCCGAGATCATGCGTGCCTCGCAGCGTGTCCTCGAGGCCACCGGCATTCCCATTGAATGGGAAGACATCTTGATTGCAGATGAGGCCATCGAAAAGCACGGGCACCCCATACCACCCGAGACGGTGGCTCAGCTCCGATCGGTCGGCGTAACGCTCAAAGCCCCGATCATTACCCACAAGCTCGTGGGGCGCATTACCTGTCTTCAGCCTGACGGAACTTCGGCGACCTATCCATCACTGAACAATGCGATCAGGCGGGAGCTGGGTCTCTTCGTAAACCCGCGACCTGTAAAGGGATATGCAGGCGTCTCTGGCCGTTACGAGGAACTCGATTGCATCATCATGCGAGAGGTCACCGAAGATCTCTACTCTGGCATCGAGCACAAGATTGGGGACGACATCGCCGCCGAGGCAATCAAGCTCACCACACGTGCAGCAGCCACGCGGGTTGCGCGGTACTCATTCGAGTATGCCCGCAAGTACGGTCGTAAGAGAGTGACTTGCCTGCACAAGGCTAATGTGCTCAACTACACGGATGGCCTATTTCTTCGCTGCTTCCGGGAGGTCAGCAAAGACTACGAGGACATTGAAACCGAGGAGCTCATGATCGACGCTGCCTGCTACCTCATCGTCAAAGACCCGAAGAGATTCGACGTTGTTCTTGCGGCCAACCAATACGGCGACATCTTTTCAGATTTGGCTGCGGGGCTCATCGGTTCTTTGGGACTGGCGCCGGGCATGAATGTCAGCGATGACCTCGCTGTCTTTGAAGCGTCTCATGGTGCAGCACCTGACATTGCTGGTAAGGGCATTGCCAATCCGCTGGCCTTGGTTTTGAGTGGCGCCCTACTTCTGGAGTCTGTGGACCGTCGGAAAGAGGCAAATGCAGTCAGAGAGGCTGTGCGCGTTGTGGTGGAAGAGCAGAAAGACCTGACTCCTGATCTGGGAGGTTCGGGAACGTCTGACTCCTTAACTGACGCTGTGGTGAGAGAGGTCAAGAGGATTTTGACATGTACATGAAATTCTTTGTACTATCGCTATATGAAGGACGCTAGATGTAATTAGAATTGCAAGCCTATCTCAACAGCCTCTCTGTGGTTCACATTTGTGGAAGCATTGGCCCATTGACGATGGATGAGCATTTGACATAATGTTGATTACTGGTCTTTTTGGTCTTGATGAGAGCATGCCATAAATGATTGCTTGAGAACCAAATCATTACGTAGATACTTAGTGACCAAAGCCCACCTTGACCTTGATTGGGCTTTTTCAATGAGTGTGTGTAGTCTGACCTGAAGGTGCTGACAGAGAGAGAAGCAAAATCCGTAGAAAGAGGGGAAGGAACGGCCAAACAGGCAGTGGGAGACAGGCCCCAAAGTCGGCACATCGTTGCAGGTCCACATGCCACCAGCCGATAGCATGCATACCGCCAAGAATTGAAGTAGGTGTGTATGAGTGTACATCAAGCGGACTTGGGGTCTGAATCTTCCATGTTCGCATGAGGGGCACCGAACAAGGCGTCCATCTCTTCAATAGGCACCCCCTTAGTCTCGCGGATACACCACCAAGCCCAAAAGCCCATGCACACCATGAGAGCGCCAAAAAAGAAGTATGCTGTAGAAGGTTAGACGTCAGTCCAAATGCTGAAGATTTTACTTACTTCCGTAACCGATGTCAGAGATCATGTACGGTGTCGAGCGGGACACAACATAAGACCAAAGTCTCTCATCGGCGATAGTGAGGGCCATGCATAGAGACCGGAGATAAAGGGGATAGATCTCAGATGCATAAAGCCATGTGATCCCCTGAGATGCGTTAGTGCAAGTGCCAAGAGGTGCTATAACATACTCACCTGCCAAGATGCACAGTAGATTACACCGTAGAGGTAGACGCAAACCATTGCCAGATAACCCCATCCAGACATGGTCGTTCTACCTGCTGCTACGGCTGCTTCAGGGTCGTTCTTCATGACATAACCTCCCAGGTATAGCTATTTAAGGATTAGACAATGGACCTCACTCAACTTTTATGGACACTGCTCACCATAGGCACCGCACCCACAAAGGCACCCCAGATAAGCCCCTTACGTCGACCAAAGTGATCGGCGACCCAGAATGAGAAGATGACCATTCCAAGCGTTTTTGCAACACCATAGAATCCAGTGGCAAAGAGCTTCAGGTCCGTTGATTGTATTCCAAGAGTTTGGAAAATGCGGGGTGAATAGTAACTATAATGACAGTGGTTAGCTGTAGGGCTTAATTCCCTGAGAAGCGAAAGGATCAATACGTGATGATGTTGACTCCTGTCATGTTCTGACATCTGGAAACATATTTTAGCAAGAGGCTTTGACAGACGACCTTACAGAACCTACATCATTAAGCAAAGGCCAATCGCTAGGCGGTTACGAATTCCCTTCTTTGTGAGGTCCTTGAGCTTTCCCTTGAGTCCAGGGTGCTTTGCAGCTAGGTGTGCCTCGAATTCGACTGCAAGTCGAATTTCACGCATTTCATGAGCCACGTACGGATGATCAATTGGGAGTTGCCGAATGTCAGTTAGGATTCGCTCAGCTTGGTCCCACCTGTCTTTTCCGCAAAGCCAACGAGGCGACTCGGGACAGAAAGGAAGGACCACCAAAAGGATCGCACCGGGCAACAGTTGGAGTCCAAGAGGAACCATCCACTGAGTGCTTGCTGCGAATGTCTCGTCAGTCGCTTGAGGTTCCTAGTCAGCAGACAGAGACTCACTATCAGGACTGATAGTCTTATTGACGGCGTAGTTGACCCAGAACCCGAGCATTTGCGCGCCCTGGGACCCAATCTCATAAAATCCCACGAGCTTTCCACGAATGGTAGGGGGCGCAACTTCGGCGATGTATCTAACAAGGATGTCAATGACTCAAATGTTCTTCTCGGGTGCGAAGGGGTCAAGCAAGACTTACACTGGGATGACTGGAGCTGAAGCCCCTATGCCTAGACCGGCGATACATCTTCCGGCCATGACGAGGGCTACAATGCCGCGAGAGCCTGTCTGAATTGAAGCACCTGCGAGGAATATAATCGTGGCAATGGTGATGCACCATTTGCGCCCCCAACGGTCTGATATGGGGTACGAAGCCAGCGCACCGAGAAACATGCCACCCTGAAAACAAGAAACAATGTTGGATGTCAGGTCGTCCAGCTGACGTTGAGTTTTGCCAATGAGACCGAAGTCACGCTCGAACGAGGGGAGAATCAATGTGCCTCCCATAACGGAAACATCGTAGCCTAGATGAAGTTGTCAGTGAAATTTGAGCTATTGAGATGAATCATTTTGGTCAAAATACTGACCTAGAGCAACGGCTCCGAGGCAAACGCCCATACAGTAGAGGTAAATTTTCCAGTTGGATACTTCCTTCGGCACAATCAAAGTCTCTGACCCATCAGTGTCATTGATATCGCTGATGAACGTTTCCGTGGTTTCAGTCTTCTCCATGATTTCGTAAAGTGATATGGATGTGCGAGAGTGGCTTAAGTCAAAAGAAACTTTTAATGGGGTGAAAAAGTCAATCCAGCACAGGCTCAGCCGTGGTAACCCTCAAGGTGACCAAGTGAAATCTTTGTGGTCCTGAATCGCAAGTCTTATTGTTCTCATCGTGCTAGCTTTCATATCACGTTGGCCAGTTTGCTGTGAAATCTGCCGAAAGAAACGTCCACATAATTCCTGAGCCAATACCAGTCTACACCTAGACAGGGGTAATGCTGCACCCCATGCAGCTTGCAGAGGCTGTGCAACGTGCGGGGAACACCCAACTGTCTGGATGAACTCTTGATGAACGACGGACGATGATTCAATCATTCAACTCTGATTCTGCGCGGACTCACGCCGAACACTGTACATGAACCGTAGAACATCGCCATGGAGTATTACTGACCGGCTCATGCCCGGTCTATCACATTACCCGTGAGGAACCAGCAAGTTCTTGGCGAGAATTCAAGTCTATCTCATGATCATTTTTGCCATGCGCCAAGAACGACCAACGCCAAGACCTGTTCCTTCAGACGTCCAGATGCGGGGAAGTAAGAGCTTTGCTGTGAAGGTATGCTTCACGACGGAGCCTTCCGACCATGGCTATCTGCAGACCGCCAAGAACGTTGTTGAAACGTAAATCTGTCTCTAGAGACCGTGCTACTAGTAGTGCAGAACGCGCCTCTGTCGGAGCTATCCGTTTAATTGCCTCCAGATGCTGATCCGCACGGGTTGACGGGACTTTCACGAGGGCAAAGACTTGCGTCGTTTGACTCAAGGCTCACCCCGCATGCTTATTCGGTGGGACAGCCTTCCTCATCCTGCAATATGCCCAGTGTGGAGAACCCATAAGATTTTGTGGACACAGAGATAAGCATGTCTCCCCTCTTGAACTCGATACTGTACATGGTCAACAACATTCGATCACAACCCCAGCAATTTTCAAGTCCACCCGAAGCGAAGTCGATAATCGTAAGATTATCATAGAGCGACAGAGCATAGCCACACTGTAAATATTGGATGGTGTTGATCGTCACTCGTTGTTGCTTGGATCATGTTTTTCCGGAATTACTGGCCTTTCCGTTCATCCACCATATCTTTGCAGTGTGATGAGGCCACTGCACAGTTTGCCTTGAGTTGTATCCCTGTATTACCCATACTAGTGAAATTGCTGTAGATTCCTGCGTTCACGGCGGCTTAACCGCCGCTTCCATTGCCAGGATGAATTCCAAAGTGAGACTGTCATTTTGAAAGGCTAATCGAGGCACATACAACCATTCATTCATAGTTTTCCAAGCTACCTTCGTCCGGTTCAGTCAAAGTTTACGACCATATAGAGGTGCTCGGAAAAATCACAGTGGTCGATACCAAACGTGCCCTCCAACTTATGCGAGGTGCTTCTTTTCCGTCCGTTAGCTCTCGCCAAGCAGGAAGCCGTTTGCTATCGGAGCGGAATGGGAGGCAAGGCAGACCGCATGAGGCAGAGTGATGCCCGAACTCGCCGCCTAAATCTTGATATCACGTTCAGTCGCATTTTGCACTGCCTCAATCATGTCATACGTTGACGTTCGTGCCGGCGTCAATCATCTCATGGTCAAAGCCAAGACAAGCGATGGTCCAGACCAAAAGCGACATACCACGGAATCGCCAGATGAACGCCAGGGAAGTTGGTGGCTCTTGGCGCAGGTATCCCGCATCGGCTTTTCACCGATAAACGTCGGTATGTGTGGATGGTTTCGGTGGCTGGGCAAATATCACACAGAAATGGAAGTGGAACGGTCCGAACCGAGGTGAAGATGAGGGGAAGTATTCCACAACATCTGCCAACTCGACATCAAGGGTCGAGCACTGCCACACTTCTTATGAGCCTCGATTTTGAAGACTATGAACACGAGTATCGTAACGTCTCTTTCTGATCAAAATGCTCCGCCTCACCAATACGGTATATTACTCCTCGAGTCAAGAACACAATATGTCAAGTTGCTCCTCACATGTACAGTCAAACTCTCAACTCACATGAGCATCGATATCAACCCAAATCCCCTTTAGACTTTGTCAATCCGCATACCATCTCCGAACCATCGGCCCCGTTGCCCACAATGGCCGGAAATATGCTTGCTCCTCCTGCCCCTCATGGCCCGGCGAGGTCGCGGTCTGCAAGCAAGACGGACACAATCATCTCGACAACCTCCAACCCATTCCTGACGCCAACAGTGACCAGTTGTGCCTCCTCGTCTCATGAGGACTCTGAGGAGGCTCTCAAGCCTGATCCTGGGACTGAGAGTGACTTCAAGGTTGATAACAACCCTTTTGCCTTCTCGCCTGGTCAGCTGAATAAGCTGCTGAACCCCAAATCCCTGGCTGCGTTCCGCGCTTTGGGGGGCTTGAACGGTATTTCCTACGGACTTCAGTCTGATATCAACACCGGCTTGAGTGTCGACGAGACTGAAGCACCCGGAATGGTCTCTTTTCAGGACGCTGTCAGTCCAATCTCACCGCAGTATTCCAAAGCTCAGTGGCCATCGACTACTGCAGCGACCAGGAACGCCTTCGAAGATCGTATCCGCGTATACAAACGCAATGTTCTGCCAGCGAAGAAGGCCACCCCCCTCTGGAAGTTGATGTGGAAAGCCTACAACGACCAGGTCCTCATTCTCCTCACGGTAGCTGCTGTCATATCTCTGGCCTTAGGAATTTACGAGACTCTCGGGGTTGAGCATCCCCCTGGATCTCCCACCCCAGTAGACTGGGTTGAAGGTTAGTATTTTGCCAGATGTATTCCAGAGAAGCATAGAGCTAACAATCTCAAAGGTGTGGCAATTTGCGCCGCTATCGCTATTGTTACTCTCGTGGGCTCCATCAACGACTGGCAGAAGGAGCGCGCCTTCGTTCGTCTGAGTGCGAAGAAAGATGAACGGGAAGTCAAAGTCACTCGTTCTGGAAAGCAAGCCTTGATCAGTGCATACGATGTGCTTGTAGGCGACGTTCTTCACCTGGAGCCGGGCGACTTGGTGCCTGTTGATGGAGTTTATATCGATGGTCATGAACTCAGGTGCGACGAATCGTCTGCTACGGGCGAGTCTGATGCGATCAAGAAGACCGGTGGCAGTATTGTCATGAGGGCTCTAGAGAACGGAGAGAGTATCAGGAACTTGGATCCGTTCATTGTCTCGGGGGCCAAGGTCTTGGAAGGTGTGTTCAGTCTGTTCAGATGCCACGCTTTTCCAGTGTATACTGACCCCGCAACTAGGAGTCGGAACCTTCATGTGCACCTCCGTCGGGGGTCAACAGCAGTTTCGGCAAGATCATGATGTCTGTCCGCACTGAGACCGAGCCGACACCTCTCCAGAAAAAGCTCGAAGGCCTTGCGATGGCAATTGCAAAACTAGGAAGCGCCGCAGCAGGATTGCTTTTCTTTGTGCTGTTATTCCGCTTTCTGGCTGGCCTTCCCAATGACTCTCGCCCTTCTACCGATAAGGCATCTTCCTTCATGGACATTCTCATCGTCGCTGTCACCATCATTGTGGTTGCTGTCCCCGAGGGACTCCCTCTTGCAGTGACTTTGGCACTCGCATTCGCCACAACAAGAATGCTGAAGGAGAACAATTTGGTAAGAGTCTTACGCGCATGTGAAACCATGGGCAACGCTACGGCTATCTGCTCGGATAAAATGGAACTCTGGTAAGCCCATTCACTAGCTATGCATTGAGATTTTGGCTAATGGCGAATAGACGACAAACAAGATGACTGTTGTTGCTGGGAGATTCGACGACACTAGCTTCTCGGCATCGGAGAGCTTGGGCACTTCATCTCCGTCCATTCCCACCTGGGCCTCCAATACTTCGCCGGCTTTCAAAGAGGTGCTCATACAGTCAGTTTCTATTAACTCGACTGCATTTGAGGGTGAAGAAGAAGGGAACTCAGTTTTTATTGGATCCAAGACTGAGACTGCACTTCTACAACTAGCCAAGGATCATCTGGGGCTCCAGTCTCTCGCCGAAATTCGGGCAAATGAGCAGGTGATTCACCTGATGCCTTTCGACTCAAGCAAAAAGTGTATGGGAGCGGTAATCCGCCTTCGGTCGGGCACATATCGACTTTTGGTCAAGGGTGCCTCCGAGATCCTCCTTGAGTATTGCTCCACTAAGGCGAACTTCACCACTTTAGATGCGGAGATCTTAACAGCCATGGATCGCGTTTCATTCACGGACACAATGGACGAGTATGCCAATCGCTCACTGCGCACCATCGGGCTCGTCTATAAGGACTACCAGGAATGGCCGCCGTCTGACGCCACTAACGACGCTACATGCTGCACCGACCTCGGCGGACTTCTGCAAACAAGGGATCTCGTCTTTCTCGGCGTCGTTGGCATTCAAGATCCCGTCCGCCCCGGCGTTCCAGAGGCAGTTCGCAAGGCCCAACATGCAGGTGTTAATGTTAGAATGGTTACTGGAGACAACGCAGTCACTGCAAAGGCAATTGCTTCGGAATGCGGCATTTAAACGGACGGCATTGTAATGGAGGGCCCCGACTTTCGACGACTTTCCGATGCCGAGATGGACAACATGCTTCCAAATCTCCAGGTCCTGGCGCGGTCTTCCCCTGAAGATAAGAGGATCCTGGTATCGAAGCTGAAAGCCTTGGGTGAGACTGTGGCTGTCACAGGCGATGGCACGAACGACGCTCCGGCCCTCAAGGCTGCGGATATTGGATTCTCGATGGGCGTGTCTGGTACCGAGGTTGCTAAGGAAGCTTCTTCAATCATCCTCATGGACGACAATTTCACATCGATCATCACCGCTCTCAAGTGGGGTCGGGCGGTCAATGATGCCGTCCAAAGGTTCTTACAGGTGGGTGTTACCATTGGGTTCATCCTTGGGATTGCACGCTAACAGGTTTATGCTGGCAGTTTCAAATCACCGTCAACATTACAGCCGTGTTACTAGCATTTGTGACAGCTGTTTACGATGCAGAGATGAAGCCCGTTCTGACGGCGGTGCAGCTACTCTGGGTTAACTTAATTATGGACACCTTCGCCGCGTTAGCATTAGCTACCGACCCTCCAACCGAGAAGATTTTGGATCGTCCTCCGCAGGGCAAGAAGAAGGCATTGATTACAACCAATGTAAGTTACTCCAGAGGTCCAAGGCCTACAAAGTTTAAGTTTTGTCCATTTTCATATCGCTGACAAATACTGTTCATAGATGTGGAAGATGATCATTGGGCAGTCTATTTACCAATTGATCGTGACGTTTGTTCTCTACTTTGGCGGAGGCGCCATTCTCAACTACGACCTGAATGATCCCGATAAGAAACTTGAGTTAGAGACAATCGTCTTCAATACCTTCGTATGGATGCAAATCTTTAACGAGTTCAACAATCGGCGACTCGACAATAAGTTCAACATCTTTGAAGGAGTTCACCGGAACCTGTTTTTTATTGTGATTAACTGCATCATGGTTGGACTACAGCTCGCAATCATTTTCATCGGGTCCAGAGCTTTCCAAATCTCTCCTGGCGGTCTTGACGGTACACAGTGGGGTATCTCAATTGTCGTTTCGGCCCTCTGCCTGCCTTGGGCCATTCTCGTTCGCCTGTTCCCCGATACTTGGTTCGCTGCCATTGCGGAACTCGTCGGCCGCCCATTCCTGGCCTCTTACTCGTGTCTGAGCACAGGCATTTCTTCCTTAGTGGGAGCATTGAGAAGGAAAAGAGCGAAAGATGCCGAAGCAGGCCCTCCGCCAATGGTGGTCGTCTCAAATGACAATGGCATCAAGGACCAATAGAAGATCTGAGCGAAAGGTGTCCGGGCACAGTTGTCCACCATGGACAATCTCAATTGTATCACAGTATCACGAATTTGAAACCCGGTAAACTAGGTCTTTTTTGCTTTCATTTCTGCGGAGGTGCGATTCTTGATCAATTGGTTTTTGACCATACACGGGAGCAAAAGAGACGAATGTTGACTTAACCAGCACCTACAAATTCAGCGCGCAAACATACATAGAAGAAAATGTATTACATAAAATAAGATGAATTTTGTTTTGGTAAGTCTCGGATATTCCTTCCCATCCTTTTCATTGGCAGCGTGACTCCCCCCTTGCGTAGTACTTGGCGGGGATGCGCGGTGATTTCCGTTTGTCCCGGACCCCAAGCGGCATTCAACCCCGATGCTTGTGTCACAGATATCGCTGATAGGCTGCGTCCAGTAGGCAACGCCTGTGTAAAATGCATCATTATTTGCGACGGAGAACAAACCCGATAAGACCATCAGGGATAACGGGCTTCAGAACCGCGCAATAAGCATCGTACCGCATTCACAAGCCAGTGCGGCTAAATCTTCTGTCACAGGGAGTGAATAAATATCGACACGCCTTCAAACTTAGGACATGCTATGTCCTTTCAAATTCATTTCATTCGTGATCAAGAACAAGATCTAACCTTTCACGCCTTTTCAGTGTTCATCTTGACTTCAAATCATTTTTCTTGTGCCAGCTATCAACCAAAATGGCCATCGACGAGGTCCTTCCCCCTATGCCCCAATTTGCGAGCAGCATTGCTGGCAAACCTGAAATTCCCCCTTGGGATAAGCCTGACCCAACCAAAGAAGACCTGAACTGGGCAGAACTACGTACACTTGACCTGTCTCTTCTCGACGGCACCCCCAACCAGCAGGCGGAGCTTGTCGAGACGACACGCCTCGCCATCCAGAAAGACGGATTCCTGTTCGTCAAAAACTTCGGAATGACTGAAGAGCAGCTGGATCGCCACTTCGCTCTCGCGCAGTACATCTTCTTTCACGGCGGTATCAGCGAAGAAGAGAAGGAGAAATTCATGTGGAATCTCTCCAAAGGCACTTTCAAGGGGTACAAGCCCAGAATCGGATGGGGCGAGAAAGAGGGCCAACGCGATCAAATCGAGCATTTCAATTGGTACCAGTCGCACTTTGACGAGTTGCCCGACTCCGTCCCCTCCAACATGCTCCCTTTTATGGACGAGATCCAGGGCTTTGCCGACGTGAGCCTTCCCAAACTTCTTCTGATTGCTTGATCCCCTTACTCACTTTTGCAACAGCACATGACCAACCAAGTCAATCGCCGCTTGCTAGTGCTGTTGTCGCGCATTCTCGGCATGCCCGACAACTTTCTGTGGGAGAAGGTTTCGGCCCGGGGATCGGCGGGCGATAGTCTCCCAGGAACATCGTATCACCGCCACATGGTGTACCACAAGTGGGATCCTGAGGAGTACGACAAGTCTTCCCTGATCATGCACGGGCACACCGACTTCGGTACCCTTACTCTGCTACCCAGTCAACCTGTCAGTTGCCTTCAAATGTTGAACTCTGAAAATGAGTGGCGCTGGGTAGGCTATGAGCCTGGTAGACTACTCGTGAATCTGGGCGATGCGCTAGATGTCATCTCGGGTGGCCAGTTCAAGGCCACCAGACACAAGGGTATGTCGATGTTTTCAGTATTTTCTTTCCACTTTCCAGCCCCAAATCTCGCTTGGTCTGATTTCAATTTAGTTACTAAGCCTCCACGCGATCAAATGAACGCAAATCGCATTGGCCTCATCATCTTCAACCATGCGTGGGCAGACATGCGTATGGAACCAATGATGAACACCCCGCTGCTCAAAGAAAGAGGCCTGAACAAGAACTCGGACGTTTTTGGTGCTTTTAGTCGGCGTCTCGACGAGGGTCTTGAAGTCCCAACGTATCAAGAAGGGAAGACGGTCCGATCTCAGGGTGCACAGGCGAAACCGGAGAAGATCGTTGACATTGACGGCGTCAAGTATAAGGAGCAGATGTTCAACGGGACTAAGCTTCTCATGGTCATTTAGGATACCACACTCCAGAGATAACGGGGGGAATTATGTAACAAACACTTATCGTGGACATTGTAAATCAGACAGAATAGGTATTGGAAATTAGTAACTCGCAGTTGCTTAGACCGGGCCTAAACGAGTCAAAAGGAGAGTTAGTCAAAGGTGCGTCTCGGATGACGCTCTGGTATCCGAATGGAGTACTTGTTTAGGCGCTATGAACCATATTGTCGTTCGTTTTCGCCTTGATAATAGTTGCGATCATATCCACCGTGGTCTCTGTCGCCATCTCTGTCCTCTTTACTATTCACTTTTGCCCAGAAAACCAGAAGCGTCGGACGAAAAGTGACTCGCTCAACAAGAAGGAAGAATGACTTCATGGAGTCGCAAAAGCACATCATTCAAATCGATCCCGTTTTCCCCACATCGTCAACACACCGTACATGCCTCTCCCAGTCCCGGTGCGGAGAAAATATTCTTTTCTTGATCAGGCAAAGGGATTCCTTGCCTGCATCTGTATAACGCTCGTAGCAGAGGTTACTAAACAGCTCAATGGGAAATGTATATCCAACCGTGTTCCTCGCGGACAACATGATGCAACAAGGAGAGTTCCCCGCCTTTACATGGCAGGGGGCGGTGTTGAATGCCGGCCGGAGCCAGTCCGATAATACGATCCGGACCCGGAGATAAGTGGAATGGATGTGGCTGCATACGTGGGGGCTAATAGGCCTCCGATTGATTTGTATCGAAACGGATTAACCCCTAAGCGGCTATTATCACTATCTATTCCGCCCTCATCGTGTCTTTTCAGCTCGATTCCTCAAGCAAGAAAATGTTGCCACTGAGTTCCAGTTCGTTGACGTTTCTGATCGCAGCCACACTTTCGCTAGGCAGTCCTCTTAATTCCATGGTCAAAAGTATGTGTTCTTGCCGGCTTCGACGCCAAGAGCTTTCATATTAACGAGAGATTTTTCATATAGTGTCGTGCGGATCAGCTATCGAGCCACTGCCAGCCGGGTCCTGGGACACACATCTTCACACCTTTGACCCGGTCAAACATCCCTACGAGCCCGACTCGACCTATTTTCCACCAGCATCCAGCGTTCAGTCAGCTCTAGGTCGTCTACCAGCCGACAACTATGTCTTCGTGATGGCAATGCCCGAGGGCACGCGACCGGAAAACGTGCTTGAGAGCGTTGCCTACGTCAATTCAACGCTTACAGCAGACGGCCGCAAACGACAGTCACGAGCAACCGTCGTACTTGACTTTTCCACCATTGACCACACGCAATTACGCAAGCTACACTCACAAGGCGTGCGGTCAGTGCGTATCCACACGCGAGGCGCCGTTACCAAAGGCCTTGAGGGCGACGAGGCGTTGAAGGTGTATATAGAGACGGTGGCCCGACAGATCGCGCCGCTGGGGTGGACCTTGGATGGACAGCTCAAGACGGAGCAGTGGGTCAAGTTCGCGCCGTTTATGAAACAATTGCACTCTGAGATTGGCATCGAGTTCGTCGGGGATCACCATTTCTACCTTACTGCCGCCGACTACGCCTCGGAGAAGTACGCGGCCATCATCGACCTGATTGAGAGTGGAGCCGCGTGGACTAAGATCTCCGGGCTGACACAGCGGGTTGGGGCTAACCAGAACCTGGAAAACATGCGGCTGGTATCGTTGGGTCTGGCGAGTGCGGCGGGGGGTCGTAGGGCTGTCTATGGCAGTGACTGGCCGCACGTCGTATCAGGTGGGGGATCAAGCGAGGTTGTGGTATTTGATGAAAAGGCGGAGGCAGCACAGTACAGACAGTGGTTTGGCGAGGAATTGTTCCGCAAGGTTATGGTTGACAATCCAGCCAGACTGTATGCCTGACCAAGTTGGTTCCATGTTTTCGGACCGCCTCCGAAAGAAGTCGGAATGCGGCCGAAGCCGAATCATGGGATCGGAGGTTCCGAGGTGCGGGGGATCCGGGGAAAGTTTGGGGTTCCCACGATTCGGGTACATGGCGCATCATGTGAGAAGGCCGTAGCAAGTCAATCACACCAAATGAACACTCAGATGTCTGCTTCACTCGTTTGGACAAAAAAAATACATAACCCATCAATTCCAAGCGTGCGCTTCTCTATGACCATCGACTCACCACACCAAAAGTCTCGTGATGCCACAGTCTACTCCCAACTCCAACACCGAGACGACTCATAACGCCCCACAATGCAATAATGCGGCGCGAGACCGTTTAGACCAGCACCGCGATAGCAGCAATGGCAAATCTAAGATCCGGTACGGCGCGTCATGCACTAGCTGCAGACGGAGGAAACAGCGCTGCGATGGTCATACTCCCAGGTGTGCACGATGCCAAAGGCTGAAGGAGAAATGCATCTATGAGAAGTAAGGCAACTGGAGGTTCATGAATGCTCCTTTTTTCATCACTCGAAGATTTTGAGTTTCATCTTAGCTGATTCAAGGTAACTTAGTAACGCCCGCAATCTGGTCCCGTCACAGTCGGTGCCTTTACTGCTGCAAACATTCCACTTCCTACAAACCCTTACAGATCCGACCGCTGGTCCGCCAGACTTCATGATTCGGCAGCTCATCCGGCAGTACCTCGAGGACACACCTCTGCCAAGCTTCGCAACGGATGGCATGAAAGCGACGTCATCAGGTGGTACTCTGGAGGCACTATCTTCGAGCCAGAGGGATAATGAATGGGACAACAATGCTTTTGGTGGACGGAAGAGTGTGAGAGACAACGAGAGTGAGGATGAGGTCAATGGCGGCGTATCTGCCTTGAATGAGCTACTAATGCATATGAGCCTTGCGGATGATGGCCAAGTGAGTTGCCTAGTTGAGAGTGGAGCTTGCTCGCCAAATAGCGTGAGACGTTGACAAACCTGACAGATGGGGCATTTTGGTGTTTCCTCCTTGTTCTGGGAAGCACCTCCCGATGTCGTCATCGGGCGG